AGGAATCAAGATGTCGCATCATATACCAAGATGGTCCATGATGGCGCAACATCTCATCCATGTCGTAACTTCCCTTCTTGATGGAGAAAAATCACTTTCATGGCTCAACATCTCCTTGGATCAACATCACTTTGGCGCAACTTCATACATGATGGCACATCATGCTATCATTTGGCACAACATCCCCACGGATGGCACAACTTCCTTCTACATGGTGTAACATGATGTTCCATGTTGCTCTATGTTGCTCCAAGTTGCTTTAAGTTGCTCCAAACCCCTTTTTGGAAGATTCGTTCCTTTGACACTTGATTTGTTACTTTGTCAGATGATCCAAATCCATATCAGATGATCCGTTCCTTTGTCACATGCTCCATGAACCTCAAGTGATCCATTGTGATCTAAGTGCTCTATGTTGGACAAGACTTCATACACCAACAATCTCCTACTTTAAGGCTTGAACAACTTCATTTGCCATTCAAATTTCACCATTCCTCAAAGTACTCCCCCCCTCTCTCTTTATCTATCTCTCTCTCTGCCAAGCCCTTCACTTTAAACTTCTAAAAGGCCAGTTGAAGACATGCAAAGCTTCAACTTCTCAGTGGTAACCACCTTGGTGAACATATCAGCTAGATTCTTCATTCTAAGGATTTTCTTTAAGTTTAGAGTTCCTTCATTGATTAACTCTTGAATGAAATGATACCTCATCTGAATGTGTTTCGTTTTACTGTGAAACACTAGATTCTTTGCTAAGTGAACTGCGTTTTGGTTGTCACAATGCAGTACACAACCCTCCTACTGCATTCCAAGTTTTGACAAGAAACTCTTCAACCATATGAGCTCTTTGACAGCTTCTGCAAGTACCATGTATTATGCTTCTGTGGTTGAAAGAGCAACACTCTTTTGTAACCTTGACATCCAGCTGATTGATGTACCTCAAATTGTGAACACATAACCCGTTGTGCCCTTGCCTGAATCTACACATCCACCTAAGTTTGCATCAACGAGCCCTTCTAAGACTACTCATTTTCTTCTGAAACATAAGGAACACTCAACTGTTCCTTTTAAGTAGCGTAGCAACCATTTCACTCCTTCCTAATTTTTTCTTCCCAGATTTAACATGAACCTGCTCACAACTCCCATTACATGATCAATGTCAGGTCTAGTGCAAACCATTGCATGCATTAAACTACCAACTACATATGCATAGGGAACTTTAGCCATGTATTCTCCGTCTTCTTCCGTTTTCTGGGATAGCTTCTTGGTGAATCTCAACTAACTACCCAATGGTGTACTTCTGGCTCTCGCATCTGCCATGCTGAACTTTTCTAAAACTTTCTTCATGTACTTGGCTTGTGAAAGTTTTAATGTACTGGTAACTCTGTCCCTGGCTATGTTCATGCCCAATATTTGTTTAGCAGCCCCTAAGTCCTTCGTCTCAAAATCACTGGCCAGCTGCTTTTTTAGCTTGATGATCTCATGCATGTTGGATCCAACAATCAACATGTCATTAACATATAACAATAAGATGATATAAGAGGATTTGAATTTCTTCAAATAACAACAGTGATCCATCCCACATCTGTTGTACCCATTCTGTTGCATGAAGGTATCAAACTTCAAGTACCACTGCCTTGGAGCCTGCTTAAAACCATACAAACTTTTCTTTAGTTTGCACAACATATTTGTAACAACCCAAATACAATAATAAAATTTTTCATTATAAAAACCAATAGTTTCAATCACCAAATAGTTCCAAGTTAATCATAATGTACAATATCCAAAATATAAGAGTAAAAGTATCCAAAAGGTGTAGAAATCATGAAGGGAGGATGGTGTGCCATCAAGCCGGGCCCTTCCTTTCGTACCGAAAGTACTTGAAACCAAACATAAACTGTAATCACAAAGATTACTGAGTTTCCCCAAAGTACCACATGCTAAACATACATCTAGGCCTAGCCCTGGAGCGTATTCCAGCCCAATACACAAATACGGGCCCAACCCTGGTATTTATTTCAACCCGATCATACAATAACGGGCCCAACCTTGGGGTTTATTTCAACCCGATCATACAATAATGGGCCCATCCCTAGGGTTTATTTCAACCCAATCATACAAACAAATAAGAATCACATAACAGCTAACACTCCACATAGCAAAATAGTAGACCAACATTGGTGCCTTCAACCCATAGGTACAGTGAGAAGGCACACCTCATAGAGAATGCTCTACTGCTACTGCTCACATTGATAGAGTACCGTTGCTACGTACCACCTAATAAGGCCAACCTTTACCCATATAATACCATGTAACCATATGGACAAATTTAATGAGAGAGATGCGGTCATCCAAGAGTTGAGACATGTGTGAAGAGAACATGCAACAACTACTTTGAACACTTTATCTCAAGCCATTTCACCGTTAAAACCAAAAACAAAAAAAATTTACATTTATATTTGTTTGTTAAAAGAACTAACACTCCGCTCCCGAGTTTACTGAAAGAAAGAAAAGAAAAGAAAAGGAGAGAAAAGAAAAGAAATAAATTGATCTTCTTTTCCCTTATCTCCGGTTCCTTCCGACTTGGGAGGATAGTTTATAAGGAAAATTAACTTAATTTTTTTCCTTTATTTTATTTTGTCTCCTTAAATAAAAGTTAGGAGCAAAGATCTTTCCAAATCTTCCCGCTCCCTTTCCTTTATCTCTTTAAATGAAACTCGGGACAAATTTAATGAGAGAGATGCGGTCATCCAAGAATTAAAAAAAAAAAAAAACTTTACACATACAATACCATTGATTTATTAAAAAAAACATTTATCTCCCTTTCCTTATCTCTCTAAATGAAACTCGGGAACAATGTCTAAATTCTAGATTAAGAGGTATTTGGGATTGCATATATAGTATGTTTATTAGTTTATTACGGTGTTTCATCGTTAATAAATAGCTTTTAGTGTTTAGCTAAAATAAAATTAAAAATATTTATTAATTTAAATAAGTAGTTTTTGATATGTTAGTGGTTCTAAATTATCTAAAATACCTTGTGACTTATTTAAACCAATTTACCATATTAACCATATATATTCAGTCGGTCCTTATTAGTCATTTTATGTCTATAAGCAGAAATTGTCAAACAATGAAAACTAACTTATCAGTTTATTACGTTTTGATACCGGATAAACTAATTCAAATAATTTTATAATATTTTGTTATAACACTCAAAAAGATAATAAATATTTTTACAAATAAACAACCCTAAATTACTAGACCGATTGTAAGCTTAAACAAAAAAAAAAATGGCAATGGTTGTGGAGTATTCTTTGGATAACAATATAGCTTGCTTTCGAACAATAAATATCAATCTTGTAATAAAAGTTTATTTTTTATATCCTTTTCTCCAATAATCATGTAATGGTAAGTTGGTAACCTCAGCAATATGCATGATCAATACGTATTTAAAACAACTACCTTTTTTTAAATAAAACATGTGTTATATTGCTTCATTTTCCTCGCCAATAACTCAACTACTCCTTTTCTTAATGTTTCACATGGATTAAAAAGCAATTAGAAAGTGAGTTATTTAAACAAATAAAAACAAAGAAAACTACTTTACCTAGTTGTGCACTTTGTAAAGGTGTGGTACAAAACAAAAGAAACAACAAAGTTGCGTGCCAATACACAAATGAAAATTCATTATTGCATATTGCATTATATATATATATATATATATATATATATATATATATATATATATATATATATATATATATATATATATATATATGTGAAGTGGTTCAAACGAGAACCAAAAAATATTAAGAACTTTGATAATCTCAATTTTATAGTTATTAAACGTGTGAATGCTTATTAAACATGTAAACATCTTTTTTTTTCTTTTTTTCTCTTTTTTGTAAAAAAATGGCAAATCCGTAATTTTTTTATAGTTTAATATTTTCATTCATATTCTAACTATATATATATATATTACATAATTTAATATAGTCCATTGCATATTAATAGACAAAATCCACAACTACTTGTGTTACCGTTGCAACCATCCTTCCTTTCAAATCAGATCTGCATGCATATAAAGTCATGTATTGATAGCTTAAATACTACATCCACAATTTAATAAACATATTAATTCACTTATTTAGAGTTTAATGCAAAACTATTATAAAATTACTACATTCTTACATATTTATACAACACAAAAAATAAATATATTTACAAGAAAATTAATACAAACATTCATACATAAATAATTCATATTTTAACTTAAAATTAATAAAAAAAAGTTGCACCTTAATACGATTCACAGTTTAATATAGTCAGTTCACAGTTTAATACAATAAATTCACAGTTTAAGTCACATAAATGTTATATTCTTAACTTAAAACTTACATTTATACCTATAGATATGGACAGTCAATTCACAACTTAATACAGTCAACTCATAGCTTAAAACAGTGAATTCACAATTTAATATACAAAATTCGCTATTTTATATAATATATTCACAATTTAATACATAAAACTCACAACTTAATATAGTTAATTCACGGTTTAATACACAAAATTGACAACTTAATATAACAAATTAACAGTTTAATACACAAAAATTATATATTAGTAGCCATATTCTCAACTTAAAACTTATATTTATACGTTCATATCTAGAGACATTTCTATGTATTAAAATGTGAATTTTTTATATTAAGTTGTGAATAAAATTCACAACATAATATACAAAATTCACAGTTGAATACACTACATTCACACCTTATTTACATGTATAAAATTCAGACGTGGATAAAAAAAATCAGAATTCATAGTTTAATAAAACATTTCAGACACTAGTTCAAAACTTAATTCAGTATTTAAAACACTAAAATTCACAACATAATGCATAAAAAAAGAGAGAGATATCATAGTATAATACACAATTCAGACACAAATTCACAGCTTAATATAAAATTTTAAACACTTATTCATAACTTAAAAACTTACAGATCTCGTTGAGGCATTTCATCAAACACCTTGTGTGCTTATTGTTTTTAGATATGATGTGATTTACAGATCTAAGATTCTCATGTTCCTTAGAGTATTTAGATATTCCAGAGATGAGTTTGTCACCTTAAAGATCATCGTCAGAGCAGATCTGAAGCAACGTGAAGGTGGTGTTTGGAGGAGAAAATGACGGTTGTGGTGGAGCAGAAGCAAAAGGATGAGGAGGAGGTGGTGGTGGAATAGATTTGATACAAATTGTTTACTCTAGCACTAAAAGGCAGCATTGGGAGGAGGCGACGGTGTTGTAGCCGTCGACGTGTAGCCATCATCTACGACGATGTTGATGGTATCAGATCTGAAGAAATCGCACCAAAAACAACATATCTAATCAGATTATATTGACGTCGGAAAATCGTAGATCTGGAAATGTTGGTTGCAAATCTGAAGGCGGTGGTTCTAGATCTGAAGGCGATGGTTCCAGATCTGACGATGGTGATTCTAGATCTGAAGAATTCGCACCGAAAGACAACATATATGATCAGATTAGAGTGATGTCGGAGAATCGTAGATTTGAAAGTGTTGGTTGTAGATCTGAAGGTGGTGGTTGCAAATCTGAAGGTGTTGGTTCTAGATCTGAAAACGACAGTACCAAATCTGAAAGTTGTTGTTTGCCGTCGACGACATTCTACTAGTGGCAGTGGTACCGATGGTGGCAGTGGCGGCCGAAGGAGGTAGGAGGCAAGAGAGAGAGAGAGAGATGAAAGTGTTTGAGTTTGAATAATTGGTGATAAAAATGAAATTAATCTTTAATTTGTAGTAGTTAGTGTGTTTTTAATGTAAATAATTGAACTGACACAAATATTGTTAACGTATCCCACTAAGAATACATCAAATGTAAGAGAGCTCACGTCTGATAGACGTGGCAGTTAAGGATCGATATACGCCTAACTCCGAGACCACGCCCTCGCCCTCGCGATCTCATGACTATTCCTTGGCGCCCAAGCACTGGAGCTCACTGTAACATCCATAAAATCATGCCAAATTTAAACTTTTAAAAATATTCCAAAACCATTGATTATTACAAAAGTTGTTTCCAAAATAGTTCAGTGTCAAAATATCCCATGATCAAATCATAAACAACAGGAGGTGTACGATCATGCCTTCGCCTTCCCGCGATCCTCAGAAGTACCTGAAACAAAATCAACAACTGTAAGCCCGAAGCTTAGTGAGTTCCCCCAAAATACCCATACGTACACCAACATACATATAACGCAAGCATCATACTATGGGTCCAATCAACCATCGGGTTGGAATACCCCAAACCCTCAACCATCGAGTTGGAATGCCAACATACTATAGGTCCAGTCATCCTCGGGATGGAATACCCTAGGCCCACAACCATCGGGTTGGAATGCCCTCATACTATGAGTCCAATCATCCTCGGGATGGAATACTCACGGCCCACAACCATCGGGTTGGAATGCCCAGGTCTTTTGGCTCTCCCACAAAGCAGATGAGCCTCAACCACCAATCAAACATGTGCATACATATCAAATAACCACGTAGCAGTCTACAGACAAACAAACCGGTCTAACAGATCGTACTAGCATAACATCATCCTATCTATCCGGATACTGATCTAACAGATCATAGCAACATAATACCATCCTATCTACCAGGATGCTAATCTAACAGCTCATACTAGCATAACATATCAGGATAACAATCCAAAAGGGTCGGCCTTGGTGCCTTAGAACCTTGAGCATAGTGAGGAAACTCACCTCACAACTGTCGAACTGAAGTGATAAGCTCAAACTCTCTAACCACAGCCACAAACTCCATCAGCTATATTTATCATAAGACCATTGCCATAAATTTCCAAGTTACCAAGATACCCCCAGAAGTCAACTAGTCAACCCTTGGTCACAGTCAAAGTCAACAGTCCATGTTGACCCAACTCGTCGAGTGCAGCTAGCAACTCGTCGAGTTCCTTAAGAGTTCAGAAGGTCATAAACCCTCGCCGACTCGTCGAGTTTCCGACAAACTCGTCGAGTCTATGCGTTTCTAGAAGTCGGGGAAAACCCTAACTGACTCGTCGAGTCCTTTGCTGACTCGTTGAGTCCATGCAGAAACCAAACAACGGGAAAACCCTTCCTAACTCGCCGAGTTCCTTATCCGACTCGTCGAGTTCATACAATACATTTCTTGTCCAGATGATTTTGAGCCATTCCAAAGCTCCAAATGGTAGATCTAGCTTCCTAAGGCAGGCTTATCACGTAAAGTTGCAAACTTTACGTGCATGCAAGGCTCTAAAGGCTTAGAATACCAAATCCAAGCTTAAAATGGGGTTTAACTCAAAGGGAATAGCTCATACTTGCTAAAGCTGGAAACTTTATAGTTATAGAGACCAAGATAAGTTCAGATCTGAAGTTACAACTTCAAATCCTACTCCATACCCGAAAATGGTTCACATTCATGCTAGAAAAGCCCTAATCTTAAACATGAAGATATCTAGAAGGAGGAAAGTCAAGGTAACGACTTGTTACCTTCAAGTGATGCTAAAATGGAGTAGAGTTCAGATCCTCAACTGTTCCTTGCTCAAAGCTTCTTGATCTTCAAGCTGCTTTCACCAAGATCCACCTTCCAAGCTTAAAAACACACAAATATGGAGAGAAAACGCGATTTAGGGTTTCTGGACTCAAAGGGGCTGTAAGGGAGGCTAAGGGAGGCTAATGATCCTTTAAATAGGGTGAAAAACCCCGAAAATTAGGGTTTCATCCTCCAGCTCCAACTCGTCGAGTCGGTCCTCCAACTCGTCGAGTTGGTCACTTAAAACATGCAACCAAATTCGTGCCTACTCGATGAGTCAGGGCATCCAACTAGTCGAGTCGACCTTTCAAATGGAAATATAAGACTGAAAAGTTTATACCTGAGAGTCGGGGTGTTACACTCACTCGGATACAAAACAGTACCAGTCATCTCCCAGAGCGACATGTGTAATGCTCAAGGCCACGCCTCCTGAGAACTCTGCACAAACAGCAGCTAATCAATAGTGGAGCACTATCTGCCAATCGGACGCCTCCACGTCCTGTCGGCCCAGTAGGGACCAAAAGGTATTGTCATGATCTTGTCCCCGCGATGACAGGTATAAATAGAAACCCTCTCTTCCAGGATAGGGGATCGCCACTTACTCACCCTTTAGTTAAACCAGTATTCTCACGACCAGTCATTAATTTGACCGTCAGAGCTTTGTTCCGGGAGCCCATCTCGGACGACGACTGACGGCCTTTTTCTCTGTCCTGTGATTCCCAGGCTTAACTCCATTGAGACGACGAAAGACGACATTAATTCCGGGGAAGATATCACAACACCTGTGCCATCCATGCGTGTACTCAGAGCTATACAACCTGTAAAAAGACCTTAAGCTATCGGAAATGGCAGATAAACGACCCGCGCTGACAGAAGGTGGAGAAGCCAGCCCGATCAGAACAATGTTGTCCCTTGACGGTACTTGTTCATCTGCACCGGGAGGGCAAACACCCACACAAACACCAGCGGCGCATGAAATTAGCTCAGCGGCAGATGCCATAGCCAGTCTATGGCGCCCACCGCACGTCGCAACGGAACACCTGGTTGCAACGACCAACACAACAAAATGGCAGATAAACGACCCGCTCTGACAGAAGGTGGAGAAGCCAGCCCGATCAGACCAATGTTTTCCCTTGACGGTACTGGTTCATCTGCACCGCGAGGGCAAACACCCACACAAATACCAGCGGCACATGCAATTAGCTCAGCGGCAAATGCCATAGCCAGTCTATGGCGCCCACCGCCCGTCGCAGCGGAACACCTGGTTGCAACGACCAACACAACACCACAAATGGTACCCACTCACCAATCATAGCTAGTTGATAACAAAACGCAACCCACCACGACGACGAGCAGAGACAAACACCTGGCCTCCAAGCACAATCATGCTACCTTCCTAGCAACAAGAGGCGGCTCACCAATTTTCTCCTACGACAAACATGGCACACATTCCGCTCTTCGCACAACAACCAATATTCAACCCTTACTTCCACCAATTTCAAGGAGTCCCTCCCTCAAGCACCACAATCGCAAGGCCAAAATATCAATACAACACTAGAACATAGGGAAAACTCACGCACGCTAGGGCAGCGGGACTCTAACCCACTATCCTAACAATTTACATACACAAGCACGATGCAACCATCATATGTTCCACAAACGACGTGGTACAATCAAGGGTACAACTACGAATATGACCAAGGATACAACAGTCTGAACTACGCCCAACAGACCATGCAATACGGTGGTTTCCCCTCTATGGACGGACAAGTGTGAAGCGTCGGCTCTGCATTCGGCCCGAAGTTCTTGCAATACGACATACCCCACTCAACAATGATCCCAAATATACCCAAATACAATGGCACGACGGACCCGTAAGAACACATAGATACTTACGAATGGACGATGATGTCGCTACGAATGCACAAGAGGTTCATCTGCCCATTTTTTCCAGCCACGTTATCGGGGAACACAGGCAAATGGTTGAAAGTTCCCCGTCCGGGAAGTATCTCAATCTCCGAGCAATTACGATACCTCTTTCTCAACAACTTTATGCAACTCCGAAAAGGAAGGGGATTCGATAAGGGAGTATTATGACAGATTCACTCTCATGAAACTCAGTGTGCCGGGACATGAAGAATTCCTTGTTATAGGTATTTTCACCTAAGGACTTCTCCCCGCCCCCTGTCAAAAAAGATACACGAGACAGTGCCAAAAACAAGAGACGAACACAAATATAGGGTGGAGAAGTACATGCGGAAAGTCGAAGGCGAGGAACAGAAGGAAGCACACATCAAAGCAGTGGAAAATGTGTATATCAAACAAGAGGAAGCAGACGTTCATCCCAGCTTCCACCATCAGGAGCGCCACGAAGGGCGTCACGATAAGAACAACTGGCATTCGAGACACTCGTTTCAAAGGTTTCACCCAGTCGGGAGGGATGAGCCCCGAGGAACCAGATCTGAAGTACATGTCGTTGAAAAAACACCAACAAAAGCAGGAAAGGAAAAAAGGAAGTACTGCGAGTACCACAAAAGAAAGACCCACAATAATAGCGAATATAAAATGCTAAAAAAGAAGTAGAAGAAAAGCGAATGGCCGAAAAACTTGTGGATATAGCAAAGGACTTAAGGTCCAAATTCTAAGTCGATCCCAAAAAAACGCGAGCCAAAAAAGACACTGGAAAGCACCCGGTGAAGAAGGAAGAAATCCTGGGCATCACGAGGTAGCGAGGAAGAATCGACTCCCAAGAAGCAGGCTGCGACATAGAAGTACTACGGAAAAACACCCTCAACATCAAATTCTCTTTGGAAGACTCCAGAGTACCTAGATGGAACCACAGAGACCCGCTCGCGATAATCGCCTACGTACACCAAATGCAAATTCATCAAGTACTGATTGATAACGACAATAGTGTGGGCGTTATCTATAAGCATTGCTTCCGCGAGCTTCCGACCCCCTGAAAAGAACGATTGAAAAAACCAACCAAAGGGTAACTGGTGGGATTTACATGTCACCAGTTTCAGCAAATAGGCACCATAAGTCTCCTCGTCACCTTGGTCAGTCACGATGGGAAGGAGAGAATCACGAGAGTAATAGAATT